CTCAAGTAATAAAGACAACAGCTGCGGACCTGGATGCAAGAACTGCAAACTTCCCGCTGGATTGTTGGATACGGCGTGACGTTCACTTATTTGCATCGCATAATTGACAATACCGCTATTCGTCAGATATTCTCTGCTCCTTTGCTCTTCCTCGTCGGTTTCTATTCTTCTTCTCACCTTTTGCGGTTCTAACGATCCTCGATATCTTTTATCCTCTGACAATATACTTCACGCTCGTCTGTCTCTCCATGTTGCATGTCTAACGAGTGAGGGAGAAAGCTTCTTATAGAATCGCATAGCGGATACGTATCTCCGGTGCGATTTAAAGTTTTCGAGCGAACGTGGAAAAAGAGCTGAAGTATACTCGCGTAAGTCGCATCAAAAATGAATATCTTTCTTCCTGAGACCGGAAAGATGGGCTGAAAGTAACGAGCCCATCTTCTCAAACCGCGTGGCGCTTCAATTATTTATGACGTCTTGTTGAGACCATCCTACACTAGTCAGTTACGCTTTTTATTGTTCTCTCTACACTACTTACCGACTTATCCTGTTTTTCTTCCTTGTTTTTGAAATATTGTATTAAGTTGTGCCTTGACGGTTTTTTTTTGCATTAGATAGACATATGTTTCGTATAAAGTATAATATTTGTACCAAAATTTACAAATTTACATATGAAATGATTAATGAAATGATTATTAACTTTTTGGTGTTACAGTGAGTCTATCGAATCCACTCAATTATATCTCTTCGGAGTTGAAAGTGATCCATTGGACTCACTTAATTATATTCTTTATGTTACATCTATAAATTTGAATAATTGTTAAAATAAACTTGACATTCATTAATTTTTATACAAGTTATGTCATTTTTTTTAAATTAATTAGTGCCTTTTAGTCAATATAAATTAAATAGGTTTCACAGGCCCAGCGTCAATAACTATATATTACAGATTTTGATGTTAGCTTCGAACACTCGACGTATCATATTTTACGATATCTTAAAAATATATGGAATAATAACAGAATTATAATTTATCCGTATAAACGAAAACCAGCCATTTGCAGTTCTTTATTTGAAAAACGTTGTTTTTTCTACAAAGGATGTTACAAACAACCAAGTCCGTATTTATTCTCTGCGGGAGTTAACGGTGTCGTAACTCGGATCAGAGAAGTTAGACCCGTACAGCCAAATTACGGGGAGATGTATGTCCTCTCGGACACCAATAGAGTTCGAAGAGGATCGCGCGAGAGACGATCGGATCTGCAACCCGTCGAAGCCTGCAAGCCGCAAGCAATTAATTCATAAGCGTACGCTCGACACAATGGTGAACTATGGTAGTACATATCCGTCTCTTCGCGCAACAATGCCACGCGAGCATCCGCACGTTGCACGAATAGTATCAAGATTTGAATGAGCCAATACAGTGATAAAGGACCTGGATCCCTAGGAGGCGAAAGGTATTACCACACGGGAATACACGTCTCCGCGATTGTCTCGTTGATATGTTAATTAACGTTATTGATGTTAAGCAAGACTGCTCCGAGTATTCAATATGACTATCTATTAATCCTGTCGATGCAGAATCGAGGTTGCGTTAACCGATTGTTTCGACAGTCAAATTGCATTATCCGGCAAAATGCAATTGATACGCACTGCACCAAATCTCCATGTCTGATAACGTCTGATTTTCGTATGAGAATGGTTGTGTAATTGATTAAATTTTTAATTATCGCAGATCTTTCTAGCGACACCAGCAAATTGTTAAATGTCAACCTGTCAATCTCTTTGCAATTCGTATATATTTTAACAGTATAACGATAACTTTTAAATTTTCTGTCTATGCTGTTAGCATAGATAGAAAATTAAAGTCTGCTATTTCATTATTTATTATAAAACATTAGATATTATTATAAAACATTAGATATTTGCATAGGCGGAGGATTTTGTTTAGAGAGGAAGGGCAAATTTTAGAATTGAGACTTTTGAATCCAAGAGGATAGGGTAGTCGATTATTGAATTATTGGATTGTTTTATGTTTTATATTATTATTTTTAATTGAAACTAAAAGCCTATACTGGTCGAAGCTAGATCTTTAATGCTTTAAATAATTTGATGTGAATTATATATATATATATAATTCACATCAAATTGCAAATTGAACTGCGACGATATATATATATATATATACACCATATTTGTAATTATTTGAACTGCACGTCGAATCTATTTTCCGGACTAATATTTTTCACATTTAAGTGTTTCACATTTACTAAAATAATATTCTTATTGTTATTATTTTTAATTAATTACTAGCTGGTAAAAATTACAATATTACACATATTTAATTTACTAATTTTCTTTTACTTTATTCTTTTTTTAAAATTGTACTTTGATTCTTTGAATTGGAAAAACTTAAATTTATAACACTAGTTGTCTTGGATTCTCAAAAAATCTTTTTATAACTTTTACTTCCAATTCTTTCTTTTTTTTTTTCACAATTAATTTCTTGTGAATACTTACTAAGCGTAGCCCGGTTTAATACTCATTTAAGCAGTTTTAATTGTTTTTGTTCTTTAAGTTTTAGAAAGGTATCACAGCTCTCGCTGTCCCTTCTTGACTATGCCCATGAACGTAGAATTCAGTAAACACCAATTAACAGTAATATAATATTATATAACGTGCGTCAGTGTAATAATTCCCTGCTCAACAGTGTAACTATTACCTACACGTGTATTATATTACATTTATTATTGAGTGAAAAATTATAATATTGACTATTAGTATTTAGGGATATATACGAGTATATATAATATATATTCTATGTACCCTCGCTGGTGGAGGCTCATCGCCGCCGCAAAATTCTCTAAAATCTCGATAAGTAACAATTAACCAAGCGTAGCATAGCGCATTTCGCCCGGTTTCCCTCTTACGAAGGTGAGCCGAGACGGCAAGTCTGATTGAATCATCATGATTCCCTCGTTGCGTACCACGCGTTGCGTAACCACCCGATTCCATCCCGCTCATCCACCCCTCATGGTTCTCTCATTGGGTTCTCTCATTTCATCCCTACTCTGAGAATCCTAGCCGACGACGCCTCGGGAAAACGAATCCTTTGAAGTCCCCTGTAATCGAAGAAGTAATTTCAACGCGACCCTCGCTGGCAATCGTTTTTCCCCGGTCGCATAGGATCGCGCATCTACCCAACGAAACGTTATTATCGGGAGCGCCCCATCCTTGATAAAGACAATTAGCAGCATAATTCACGCAACAACTTTGTGAGTGAATTAAATAGAAAAAAAATGATAAAGAGTACGTATTTGTATATACATTTAATAATAATTTATGTATTTATATTAAAAATATGTAATTCATTACCTATTAGTTTTTCTAAAGGCTTTAAAAAAATTAATATAAATATGTATATATATTCCTACATTAGGAAAAGAGTCTGCAGATTGCATCGGCTATTATAATTTTACTTGAAATAACCAGAATTCTGTTTGATATGATTAGAAGCTTCTGGTTCGTTCATTTTTAACCATAAATTTTTCTCAGTGTTATTATATTACTTTTGGGAACTTCTGGCCTTTGTGAATATTATAAAGCATTTATAGATAAAGGAATCTTAGTACAAAGAAGAAAATTATTATAAAATATATTTTTGTACTAAATAAAATTTTAATATTTATTTCATGTTAATGAACATATGTGTTGAGATTTTAATCGTAAAAGAGGAAAGAGAATTACACAAAATTCTTTGAAATTGTCGTATTGTCCCACAATTTCCATGATTTTCAAGGAAATTTTAGGGTAAATTTTAAGAGAAAATTCTCTCTGTGTGAAAAGTTACTTATTGTAATTTCTAAAGACTTCTTAACATAAGTTGCAATCGTACAATGTAATTTGCAAACGCAGCAGCCAATCAGAAGAAGTCAGTACCAAAGTATCCCATTGACGCTTCTAATTAATTATCGTGTTTGCAAACTACATTTTATAATTGCGACTTATGTAGAGAAACCTTTAGAAATTACGCAATTAACTTTTGATAGCAAACCAATCAAAATGATAACAAATAATGTAAGCTTATTACTTAATTTGTTACCTGACTGTGTTTAACTTTTTGTCTTCATTTAAAGTATTCCTTAATTAAGATATAATATTCCAAATTCTACTTAAATAAAAGTGGACGTATTCTTATTAATGCCATTTACACTTTTCTTCTCTGACCTCTATCTTCTCATATCGCAAACTAGCCGTTAAAATTAACATCGACATTTTCTCGGACGGAACCTAAATTCAATTTTACTTTACAAATCTAATTTAAGCAAAGTGAAACTCGTACTGTAGGGGCGAAACTTAGTTAACATTAAACTTCGCACACATATTGGATTCAAAATACGATTCCTACCAAATTCAATCTGGAATAGCAAGTACAAATCTTAACTATAGGGGAATAAAATCAAATTCGCGGCACGTAAACCAAAGTTGAGCGTAGATGCCACTTCGTAAAGTAAACGATGTCAAAATGAGAGGCTCTCCCTTTCTTGCCGCAAGAGACTGAGAATTACGCTTATTTCCGAGATCAACAAAACAAAATTTTAATACGTAATTGTATTATAAATAAATGCAAAGTTCACGAATGAATATGCGAATAAAAACATGTTACCCTGACGAAGGCGATGCCCTCGGAAGCAATTTGAATATTCCGGACTCAGGGATAGCAGTGAAAAATTCTTACCCGCGATTTCACAGTAAAATATGCATCTTTCCTAAAAAAAAAAAATAAATAAAAAAAAAACTGCGAGACAAAATTCAACTCGTTGCAACGCTTAACGAGAAAAATTCCACTACTTGGAGCGAGTTAAAAACTCGTAAATGTGATGGGGTAGTCGGGTTCAAAAATTACCGAAATTAATTAACGAATGGCAGGAAAGGGAGTATCAGTTTGTGCGCCCAGAGCTAATAGACAGCTACTGAGAGGTCTCGTCTTTTTGTTATAGGTGCGAGGGCGGCTGGCTTCAACTCGAGGGCAGTGCTCGCGTTTGCGGTCGGAACCAACGCTTCGACCGACCAGTCGTTCTCTTCTCGGACAAGCCGGTCGCAACTCTACATATGCAGTGAGTACAGTACTTTCATCGTTTAATTTCCATCAGTGAACGGTTTTTGTATTGCCACTTAAGTTAAAAGCAAGAAGCTTCTCCACTCGAACAAACCGCCCCAAATTATCATTAATTATTCTTTGCATTATACAATATTTTATCAGGAGAATTTTCTGCTTTATATATAAAATTCGAAACATCAAAGCATTATTATTTATTATGGCACTTTAATGTTTCAAGTAATATCATAAACAGACTAACTTTAAATATTATATGATCTATTTGCGCTGAGAAGGTCCGTGAAGATCATTTTCGTTTATTTTCCTGGAGTTGCGTATAAATATTTGTGTAAAAAATGTTTCTCTTTAGCTTCTGGAAATATAAGATTTTAGAACGTTCGAATCGATACGCGCGCGCGCGTATCTATTTTCATTTTGAGAGAAAGATTTTGCCGATTCCTCTTTTATAGAAAATAATTATGTCTTAAACGAATAGTGAGTGCGTAAAGTCGATTTAATGTCACTTTTATATTATATATACATGCGAATTTTATATGTACATATAAAAGTAGCGCGTAACATTATCGAGAATATAAGACATGCACGGATAGCAGAAGAATAGATAGAATTCCAATGGCATTACGAAATAGGAACACGTCCTGAGCTAAGTGCTTCTTACTACCTCAAGTCCTTGTTATTTAAGTTACTTAAACAACGCTCATATATCAAATTTTACTCTTAAATTAGACAGTGATATCCGAAAGATTGAATTCGCGCCTTCGAATCTCCGTATCTTTGCAAAAGTTTCTCGCTCTGCAGTATCGCAAGTAATAAATCAGGCTGATTTCGATAACTTGGAGAAGAAGCAAAGCTCGGAACGAAGCGGTGGTAGAGTATTTACACGATTCGCACCTTATAAGAAGCGATTTCCATTATCAAGTAGCCTTCTCTCGCTTCATCCGTCGTTTGTACTTGAACATCAGCTCCTGAGAAAAGTTTAATTTAAATGCAAATTGATTTACCTTTGATAAAGTAAAATGGGGTTTTCTCTGTTTACTGCAAAGGCGAGAATTATTTTTTAAATTAACTTTCTTGACGACGGCGCCCACCATGTAACCGTATTTAATTACGTTAAAACTACTGCAGAGAAGTAATAACATGAAATTAATAGCTATTCATGATCAATGTGCCCTGGAACATTACGAGCATCAGTTGAAATGGAATGCAAATTAATTATTACGTTTGATGAAACGTGTTACATCGATTTATTTATTTAATAGATGTAATCTTGTGAAAGATGTCAACATTTTATGATTATGTACGTTTGCAACGTCGTAATTTAGGATTAATTTTCTACATCAATTATTAATATATCTTTCATATTTATTGTGCTAATAATCAAATATAATTGAAATTGTAGTAACTGACAATTAATGCGAACGATCTGTAAAATTTTCATCCGCTTCGCAGTCGAGGTGAATTATTATGGCGGTCGTCTGAGAGAAAAATCTGAATAATTGATTGGTACATATTGTTGGGCCTCACGGGAGTCGGTAAATGGTGGAAAAGTTGCAAATTCGTCCGTAGGTAAATCCCCACGTGGCTCTCCACGCGGTGCCTCCATTATTTATGTTTCTTAATTGGAGCGTCGAGAAAAAGCAAATTTTCTATCCGACAACGAGAAGCTTCGTTACGGACTGCTCATTAAATATTTATGGCGAAATCAGCGTCTGCGATATCAGCGCGTCAACTAAAGTCTGTGTATACATAAAACATCAGTAGTTTGCTACGCAACTCGTTTCTATGATCGCGGTGCAAGAATCTAAAGATGTTTCCGCGATGGTTTTGATGATCCATTTAAACCTCTAAAGAGTTTACGTAAACATTCAAATTTGCAAGTATCACGCGAAACCCATATTTGTTAATCATATACAATCCTTTGAAATTTGCAGTTAATTTTAAATATTTTCACTATCTACCGAATCCAAATTGAAAATCGAGAATTTCGCAAGAGTAACGTGGCGTACAATTTAATTCTACCAGCCCATTTCTGGAAGTAATTTCATCGTCCAATATGATGTTCAATAAATTTGTGGAAATCGCACTTAATTTCTATCACAAATTGTTTCCATAAATTATACGCGAACGAAGCAACCGTACGTAAGATAATAATTGTATCAAATAGCATCAAAGTAAAACTCGATAAGCGTAAAATTGATCGAACTTGCGTGCTAATCCAAAGTAAAATATTTTGCGAAGAGAAGTAATTCTTTTTTAACTAGCAAAAGAAGAATATTTTTAAAGAACATTTATAATCTTCTTTTTACGTATACTTTAATATCCAATTAATGAAGCTTTAATTTGCTAGACAATTGATAACATTTCTAGTTTTGATAGTCTTGAGCATTACATAAGAAAATATGATTGTTTATATCAAATTTGTTAACAATAGAAGAATAAGAAACTTTAGAAGAAGTCACCATTAAAAGTATTTTTGACCCGGAAATGTCTCTCGCGTTATTACTCGGCACTTTCTCAGCGAAAACTCCGAAACGCGGTTTGGTCGGTATGAAATTTATATAAGTTGGGAAGTTGAGTGTAATGTGGCAAACCCGTCGCACGCGACTGGCATAAATGTGTCAGGAATGATTTATGGCGTTTAACTTCCACTCTCGTCCACGGCAACTTCTTATATGAAAATATCTAGGAAACAAATGACAACCTATGAGTCGTGATGCGCGAAATTTATTTCAATAGGAAATTGAACTGGATATACATTCATCGAGAAAAGAGAGAAACATTATTAGAATAACATTTTGTCGAATAGGTGTAAAATTTACATTTATTCTCACAGATTTTCTTTTTTTTTTTTTTTTTTTTAAGAAAACGTAGAATTATAACAGTCGAAATTTCAAAATTATCTTGCAAATGAATGAAAAAGAAACGAGGAAAAACGAAATTTATACGGACGAGTAAATGTAGGTGATGATATAAAATTGCACGACAAATTTTTCATGAATTTCTGACTAAAAATTTCCTAGTGTCACTTAATTGGTTAAACTAAAAAGCCGCGATGAAAATTCCGTCGAGTGGAATCTCAAAAGTACGCAATACACGTGAAACGTTGCATAATATTTTTCAGCGTCGCCTGTAAAGTAACGACACGTATCCAGTCGAATTCGAGGCAATAATCGGATTCCCATGAAATTTCAACGCGCTCATTTCCATAACTACGTCCTTTTATGTCACCGTGAAACATTGAAATGGACTGAATTATTCAACCGATAATACGCGGCTCATACGTGGAATACGGACGGAAACTTTGTCTGTTATGTTTCAACATATTGCATAATGCACTTTAAACTACAGCCATTGTCCACGCAGGATATAAACCGTAAAAGGTCAATATACGATCTCGGTTTATCACGAAACGGGAATGCTTTCGAGAGAAGTACGAGAGATACTCGTTTGCCTCGCTTATATTTTTCTTCTACCAATATGTCAGATTTATTTGAAAATCTCTTTTTTTTTTCAGGAATAGAATATCAAATAAAAATAGCGAAATATACAATAAAAATATCGAACGTAACTATCCACGTTTGAACGTTTACAATGCAGGTTAAACTCAATTTATCATGTATCACTAAAAAATTTTTTTTTAAGAAACTGGTTGCAAATTTACATCATTGCTCGCTTGTTTTGTTGTCCATTATTAATTTCAATTTGTACAATCAACTTTTTGCGTTGGAATTTTCATAAACTATTTGCACATTGTTTTAATGCTTCAAAAATTTTTTTCAAAATAATTTTGTGTGTGTGTATCTATATAACACACATATACTATAAAATATCTTTATAAATAAAAATGTAACAAAAGTAAAAAGTATTTAACACAAAAAATATTTGTTAATTTTGTAATGACATTTAATTTTTTAAGTTGTCTTACCGAAAAATTTTGATGGTCTAATAACAAAATTATTTTCAAATCCGTATCTAATATCAAAATCGTTTTCTCCGTATACCTATATATTCGATTACACCTTGTGTTTGCCGGTTAATATTAAGCTGTGGTACAGGGTATCTGAAATAAGCCCACTAATCATACAGTACTATTTCTAATAAAAAACTGAATCAAAAAGTTCTCTTCCATTTTGCAATTTTTACAATAGTTAACAAAATATTAATTCTAAAAATTGTGCCGAATAAACGGATAAAATTGATGTATAAGACAATTTTAAGATAACTTTCTGTGTTCTTTGTAAAAAATTTTGGATATGTTTTTTAAAGAACCCTTAAAGATATATTAATGTTGTACGTCGATTTTAGACATTTTGCTCATTGGATGATTAAAAAAAAATATCGCAAAAATTGCAAAATAATAGAGGATTTTTTGACTCAGTTTCTTTATTAAAAATAGCACTATATGATTAGTGAGCGTTATTTCAGATACATCCTGTACACATTACACACTTGCTATATTATTACTTGAAATTTTGAACAGTACTATTTAGATCTGGCATTTCACCGAAATATATCTACCGCAGATATTTTAGCGAAGTATACCTATCGTACGTATCTAATAATTTGCAGCTGCACATCATAAGTGCAATTAGTCAATATTGCTAATTTTCTCGTCGTACATTATTACAATTGAATTTGCAACCTTCGCACGCGCACTCAGAATCGATGGATCCATTAACGTCGATATGATCGAGAGAAAGAGAGGAGAGGGGGAGAGAGAGAGAGAGAGAGAGAGAGAGAGAAAGAGAGAGTTCGCGAATTCGCGGTATTATTTTAAAATGTCAGATATGGAAATTAAACTAGAGGAGTAAAATTCCCGCCATGGTCATTTATCTTCTATTTGTGTGTATTGTATAATGAATCTGCAGAATTTGCTATCGAGGATTTGACAATTTCACAAAACAACGTTCCACAAGAGCAACAATGCTGCATAGTCGCGTACGGAAAAGTTGAAATAAATTAAGCAAGGACGACGTAATTACGGTGTGATTATCACTGAATT